GTCACACTCAGTGATGGGGAGCCCTACCCCAGAAGTGTATCTCATGAGGGACGCAGTGAAAATGGTGCTCAAGGGAGACAGGAAGAGACAGCAACATAAAGGATGTGGCTCCATGTCCACGGCGCCACAACAGAAGGTGCGTGGGAGCTGATGGGAAGTTGCTCAGGGAAAATGGGGGGTCCTTGCCTCTTGTGTACCTCCTCAAGGCTGACCCCTTACATGGCCCAGGAACGGCAGGTGCTACAAGAATGATATCCACATGGGCATGGAAATGGGGCAGATTCAGGGACCACTGGGCTCAGAGGGGAGGGAAGGGCTCATCAGCACCCACCCAGGGAGCCTGTCCCTTTATGTTCCCAAATAAAGGGTCCTAGAAGACCAGAAAGCCAAGGTCTTTTATTAAAGAGTTCCAACTGGTTTTCCCACTATTTCCACGCAAGCCAGGGGCCAGCGGCAGCCTCTCGGAAGGTACCGGGTGGCTGGGCCTGGGGCCCGGCAGCACAGCGCTTAACGGTATCTGCCTGCTCCACTCCACAGGGCCAGAGGCACCAGCACGATGCCGCCCTGACTCGGCTCTGTGGTGGCCCCTGCCCGCCCTTCAGCGCCAGCTGCTGCCCGCGGCATCCCCGCTCATTCCCGCTGCGCGGCTCCTCGCTTGCTGTCTAAGATCTCCCTCCAGTTGTCACTCCAGGAGAGCAACCGTCTCTTTGTCGGGGGCAGGACCAGGTGCCGATTGTGACAGCAGGTGAACAAGATGTGCTCCCAGCGCGGGGTCTCCTCGTCGCCTGGGACAAGAAAGGCAGCGCTGACATCTGTAATGGGCATGATTACTTCCTCCCCCTAATCAGGGCAGGCTAGAGGCCTGGAGGCTGCCAAGGATAACGGATCCAACCTCGAATTGTGTCCTTGTCATCAATGAGCAGGTCCCCCAAGACCACCGTCTTGTCCCTTGTCAGGATAATTCGTTCTACGAACTGGGGCCCCAGGTGCTGCTCCACCCAGCGGTACTGTGTAGAAGACACAGGTCTGTGAGTAGGGCCTGATGGGAGCCGGAATTCAGGGACAGGGAGTGGGGTCTAAGCCTTTGAGAGCCCCCCACCCCCGACCTTCTGGGTTTCTGGTGGTTTCTTTTTAAAATCAGGATTTAGGCAGCTCCACGTGCGGAGTAGGGGCGGGGCAGCCACACCTTCTCACCCACACAGTGGTTGTACTTCAGCAGGGGGCTGGTGCAGATGAAGACCTCCGTGCTGCGGAGAAGGTCGCGGTTACCACCGGGAGCCGGGAGCCCGCCCAGGACTCCGCCCGCCCCCACTCTCCTTACTCCGGTAGGTCGTTCATCTCCCGCACAGCGTCCAAGGCCCCCGGGATGGGCTCCAGGTCCAGGAAAAAGCCCGGGGCTTCGTACACACTGGCCACTTTATCCTGAAAGACAAGAGTTCTGGGTCCCGGCTTCTGCCTCCGGCAGATGCAGTTCCCACGAGGACTCGCAGGGAGGCTCCTGGGGGCTCTGGGCCCGGGCTCCGAGCTGCGGAGGGGTCTTTGGTCAGGGGCACGCGCCCAAAGGCTCCTCCCCAGGGTGCGCTGCCCGCGGGTGCCAGGGTAAGGGCTCTGCGCCCTTCACACAGAAGGGGGTGACCCC